TTTATTTTGAAAAAATTAAAAATTTATCACCTTATTTAAAAATTAAAAAAAATTCTTAAATAAAAAATAATAAAATTTATATTCTTATCTATGTTTTTTTTCTCTTACTATATCTTTAGGTTGAAAAAAAATAGAAGGAACAAGATGGCAGGGGAAAATATTTTTCTATTTGGTTATTAAAAAAATTAGAAAGGAAGAGATGAGAAAATTTTCTTTTATTTTTTCTCTCAATTTATTAATTTATCTAAATAAAATAAAGAGAAGAGAAGGAAATGAAAAGATAAAATTTTCTATCTCTTCTATTTCTCTCAATTCAAACATGCAATTAAAGTTTTGTTTTTGATATGTTCAGACTTACAATTAAAATTCAAAAAAACAAAACAAAAGTAATTTTCTCCGCCATAGCTGCCGACTCCCCCTTTTAGTCGTCCTTTCTCAATCTCCTTAATTTGCTTCTACTAAAATCACCTTTCCACCTGTTCACAATTTCTATTTTCTAATTATAACACTTTCATCCCTACATTTTCCCCCTTTTATTACAGGTTCCCTTTCTTCTTGTTCTTGGGTAAATCAAGAAAAGAAGTCAAATAGCTGAAGAATAGGAAATATAATGCTAATTAATTAAATTAGTCCTCTGTCATCACTTTGTATTGCTTAAAACTTGTTTTAATCACATTTCCTAGATCGAATTGAGAAAAAAAAAATGACATAAGATTAATCATGGTCTACGACTATGCTGAGGAAAATAAACATGGAGTTTCCTTTGTCCTTCTCATTGGGAAATGATACACTTACCCCCAAACCAACATCGCATCTTACACACTTGTAGTTCAAAAAGTTAAAATACAATATTTTTCCATTAAAGGCTTATTCCTTGCTTGCCCATATCAAGCCTATTGAAAGTAATTCTTGAAGTTAAAATTTACTTAGATTCCATCCATTTTCCTTGTTTTCTCTCTTTCTCCGTCACCATTTCTCTACCCATCTCCTCTCACATCTCCACTTGCGAGTTCTTTACTGTGTAGATTTGGGCAACCCTCCTCTTCACATAGCATTGGTTCTTTGATTTTTAACATTCTTCTTTCTTTTCCCTCCTTCTTTCTTTTTCTTCTTCTTTCCATCTCCTCCCCTCTTCTTCCTTCTCTTTCCCCCTCCTTGATATGTTGAAGGAGAATCCAAATCTAGTTTCTCCTAGGGAACCGTGGGTTTTCCCTGAGAATCTAAATCTAGGTTTTCCTAGAGAACTTATGGGTTCTCAAGGAGAACCCAAATCTAGGTTCTTAAACTTGGAGAAGGATGACGGAGGAGAGAGAAAAAAGGAAGATAATGAATTTTTATAAATTTTTGTTACAATTTTTTACAAATTTGATAATAAAGTGTATTGTTTGATTGCTAAGAAAATTAGCGGTAGAAAGAAAATTTCCTTGGTAAAATATATTTGGCTCCTAAAAAAAATCTAGGATAACAAGAGAAATTTTCATTGTTGTTGAAAAATTTATATAAACCGAAAAAGAAGATAATCTAGAGAAGAAGATGAACATGAAAAAAAGATAAATATGGAAGAAGATAAATTCGAGAAGAAGATCAACATGAAGATGGCACAAATGTTCACATTTTTTATTACTTATTTAATAATTATCCTTCAGTAACTCACTTACCATTGTCGACTTAGTTTATGTCTTAAATTCATAGGTGATGTGGCAAAATGGATGGGAGTGGTAAAAAGCAACTGCTGGAGCGAGTGCTCTTAGCACTGCTTTCTTGTTTAATAATTACTGTGATTAATACTTTTTTTTTTAACAAATTTGTAAGGAGTCAGATTCAAATTGTTACTTTAAGTAAGAAAAATACACTTATACGTGATCTGATGCTACTGGAACCGAACACCCAAGTTTCCGTGATCAATATGTTTGAAAAAGAAAATAAAAGAGTATTTTATATTTGACAAGTGATTTAAGTTATTTTAGAATAATTTAAAATCGTAAAATATTAATTTAATAAGTGATGTGATGTGGAAGGTGCTAGTCTAGGGAGTGCACCTATTAGCGTCCTTTCTGATTTCAATTTCTTGTTCAAATATTTTATCGTGGCTGGGCTTGTTGATCCAATTATCTATTATCTAACTGAAATGGTTTTTTTTTTTTTTTTTAATTTGAGCTGTGAAAAAAAAAAGTGTAAATATTATAAAAATACCAAAATATTCTTAATAAATTCTATTTAATAAAATAAACACCATGTTTTTTTTTTAGCATTAAGATTTCAATGTTTAAAAGTTATATTAAAATTAACAATTTAAAATCAAATTGAATCAGATTTTATAAAAAAAAATTCTCTTTAACACTTATCTTTTTATTTATAATACTTAAACTTAAAATATTACTCAATAAAAATCAAGTTGCTTTCGCTTAAGCTAATAGATGATTATTATGACTAGCGTGTCTTTTATTCCTCCAGTAACACATCAATTAGTTTTAATTCGAAATCTGTCATATTATTAATCCCTTTGGATGAGCTGACCAATGATGTTCTGTCGCCTAAATAATAATTTTACATGAAGGAAAGAAAAAAGAGAGAACACCGTGATACTGATGAGCATGCGTCAAGGTCAACAGTAAATGCATGCCGAAAAGAAACAAAAGATAATGAAGCAGAAGATGACACGGCAGTCGGCAGCCAAAAGAGTTAGTTCGTGGTCGGATCTACCCGACCCAGATAAAAACAAAAAAGGGCCCCCGATGGCCGATGTTCAGCCGCCGGAGCAGCTCTGTGCTGCAGGCCACGCCTTTACTTGCCCTGTCTCTGCTTTAGGTGAACAACATGCATATTTAATGCAACTCTCCTCTTAATTAATTTTCTATTATTGAACTATTTTCTTCCTACTGTACCTACGTACATCTAGAATTTATAATATCGCGCTGTATTCGCCTGCAATTCTACCGTATTACTCAATCCTGTTACCTGTATGGTAAAAATACTTACAAACGTTGTCGAAGTATGAGTGGAGTGAAGAAATGTACATAAAATTCTACAGCAATGGAAAATGTTAGAATGCAATATAAGTAAAGGCTCATTAAACATAATTAACATGTTTTTTAAATTCAATATGATATCTTTTATGTATCTTTCTAATTCTTTTACTCATTTTATTCATCTCAATTTAATTTTATATTCACTCTCTCATTGTTTAAAATAAGTAATTAGATCATTTAAATCTTGAAATTAATATTTTAAAAAATTAATTTTTTAAGTTACCCTCTTAATATAGGAATATATCTTAAGAATATCCCAAAGAAAATTAATCTTGAAGTACCCAAGAGCGGACATGAGATATCTGACTGTCAAAAAAAAAAAAAAAAAGGGTACGTACTAGATTCGGATGTACCGAACCGACCGGACAGCTAATGTTTTCTTTAGGTAAAAAATTATTTTTAACTTTTTACCTTATTAAATTTAAAAGTTTTAATCATTTACTTTATATTATAATATTTTTAACCTCTCACCTTATTAGATTTATAGATTTTAACTTTTCACTTATTAAAATCGAAGAAAATAACCATCATTTTATATTGACTATTAACTTTGTTAACTGAAAGTAAGTTTTTGTTAACTAACAGTTAATTAATAATCAATTAACAAAATGATTGAAATATTTTGAAGTTAGTTTTGTTAATTCTGTTAGTTAAAAGAAAATTTTTATCAGTTAACAGCTAACTAATAGTTAGTTAAAACAGTTAACTAACAATCAGCTAATAAAATTAATGATTAACTAACATAATTAACAAAATGTCACAAAAAGATGGTTATTTTCTTCAATTTTAATAAGTGAGGGATTAAAAGTAAGTTTTTGCTATTTTCTTTAACATAGGAAAATTCAAGGATGAGGAAATTTTACACTATAAGGATTCGAACCCCTGGTCTGCAAGCAGGGTATGGTGTGTGAAAGAGGAAACCTTCCAAGTTAAAAAAGAATCAAATCACAAATTAACAGCATCAATCATGTGAATAATTACCACTTAATCAGCCCAATGACTCCATTGCTTAAGAACTTGAAAGTTGAAACTACAATTTGCAAATTTAAGTTTGAATTTTGAGTTAAATAAGGAGAAATGTAAAAAGAACATTAATTCAAAAACCCTCCTATTCAATATATTAAATAATATATTTTTTAAAAAATTATAAATTTTAATGATTGAATCAGTGAATATATTAAACCAAAAAATATACTAATCATTTCTTCTTTTTTTTTTAAAGAAGAAAACTATCTCTTCTCATTTAAAAAAAAAAAAAGAAAAGGAAAACTATCTCTTCTTATATAACTATCCTACCCAAAAAAAAAAAAAAAAAAATTAGAACTCAATCAAGCAAATGCATAGAAGGGAAGAGTGGAATAGAAAATCAAGAAATTAATTCCTAAATTTGTGGATCTTGTCTCAATACGCAAACTCTAAATACATGTACGTACATATTATTCATTATTCTTTTTCTAAGCCAGGTCCGGCTGCTATTTGAAGTTTTGAACTGGAAGTCCTGGTGCAATAGACCTATTGTTATTGAACCACAAAACCAATGAAAAATAGATCAAATAAGAAAAGCAAACCGAACAAACCAAACCAAATTGAATCGGAACGTTGGAATTTGTCCCCAAAATTGAATCAATTTAATCCAAAATTTTGACAGAACTAACCGAAACTGAACGAATATAAAGCCTTATACTAGAAAAATGGTCCCCTTGACCTCCACCTTCATCAAATCTCTTCATTTATGGCTCTTTTTCTTCGTCAGTTATTTTCTTCCATATACGGTCTTTCTTAAATGTTTGGAGATTATTATCCCAAAGTCATTGATGTATATGAGCCGAAGATGCTGGCTGGAATCCATTAATGATGTCTATTAATTCTTCACAGTGAAACAGAATCGATATTACGCAACACAAATTAAAGTTTGCATGAACACTTTTTTTTTTTTAATTAGATAAATTTGTTAATAATATCCTTATAATGTCATATATAATTATTAATTTATAATTATAATATATCATGAGGAAATGTTTAGAATATCATAGTTAGATTATAAAACATAAAAAACTAAATATATAATAAAAATTATAACAATAAATATACAGTATCATATGATATTATAAAAATATTATTTTTGAGATAATGAGAATGCTAGAATTAGAATTCCAGACTAGAGATGTCTTCACTGGCTCAACAAACCAGCGTAGCCATTAGGCCTCAGCGTGATGGGCTCAGATGAAACAGTAGTGTTTTTTTTTTTTTTTCTGACGCATGAACAATATATATTTTTACTTAATGGCCAAAAACATATTTAATTCTTATGTTTTGTGTTTGACCAAAACAAATAACGTAAACAAAAAGGGTTAAGTTAAACATGCGCAGTGGTGGTCACGTCACATACGACCAAAAATCTTATAATCTCAGGCCCCGACAACAAAGACGAAACCAGCCGCCTGCCCATACAAGAAACCCTCCCTGCTGCCGTAAAAGAAAGCATGTTCTCCATGCATTAATTAAAGGAATAACTTCTAATGATAGCCGTTTCCCATTTTCTCAGTTTAGCTCTCAAGCTTGTTTTTTAGTCAATGAAAGCCCTTGTACCATAAAATTTGATCAATTCATAAGGTCAAAACTAATAATCCAGCAAATCCTATTCTTAGTTACTCAGCCCCGAGAGATGCTGTTCTAGTCCAACTGTTTTGTTTGTTTGGTAGTCTCACATCCTAAAGGAAATATCTGAGAGAGTTTAGTGATATGATAACTTGTGAGTTGGTTATGAATTCTTTTATGTTTGAATTTAGTCACCTTAATTTTGCAAAAACTTTTTTCTCTCTAATTTTTTAGCAGAAAGCACAATTTTTCAGTTTAGTAGACTAAAGTATGGTCCCAATTTGGTTAATTAATTTAACCTCGAAAAAAAATTCTAAGAGCAATGGAGTAGTAAAAATCTTGAGAAAGTGATTTGATAACTTGTCCCGCTACCAAACATGGCCTTAATTTATAATATTACAAATTGTTATAAATGCTTAATATAACAGACCTGGTATTAAACTTATATCACAGACCTAACACGCTATGACATTGAGTACCATGAACTTAAGTGATCCAAAAACAAGTTTGAGAACAAATATTAGAAAACAAAACAAGTTCAAGGGCTTGCTAGGCGCTTATTCCTTATTTATCAACGCATTTAATTTCCTCCCATCGACAAATCCCCCATCGCCGACTTACGCCTAACCGATGATACACTGTAAGAGTATATGTTCTTGTCGTCGTAGTACAGAGACATCAATCCTTTTAAAGAGAGAAAACCACCATATCCTCGACGCACGCGCTGCGACAACAAAAGACAAATCCTCATTACTACCATTATAGCCCCACCCCTCCACCCGTATAAAACCCCCCCACCACCAAACACATCCAAACACAGCATTTTCTGCGTTACATCTCAAATACCTTCGAAAATACATCAGAAAGATGCATTATCATGGTGGATATTATATGTTGTCTGGGAGGAGCATGGGAGACCCACTGGAGAGGGTGGCGAAACTGGCATCGGAGAGCGCCGTGGTTATATTCAGTATCAGCAGCTGCTGCATGTGCCATGCGGTGAAGAGGCTGTTCTGCGGGATGGGGGTGAGCCCGACAGTGTACGAGCTGGACCAGCACCCGGTGGGGAAGGAGATTGAGAGGGCGTTGATGAGGCTGATGGGAAGTTCGCAGGCAGTTCCCGTGGTGTTTGTTGGAGGGAAGCTGATTGGTTCCATGGACCGTGTCATGGGGTCCCATATTAATGGCACCCTCGTGCCTCTTCTCAAAGAAGCCGGAGCTCTCTGGCTGTGATTTTGATGGAATATTCCGATGATCGGATCGTATCTCTCTGAAAATTGCCTTTCACAATCTCTCTTATTTCTCTATCCAATATCTCTATTACGTAATTTTTGTAGTTTTAGTGTTATGGGTTCAGTTTAATATATTTCCTTGGAAAATCGAGAAGTGTTGCTGATCATGTCATGCCAACATTTGTATAGGGAATGGAGAGTGAGTATTATTGCTTTTGAATATCCTATAATTAATCTTTAATCCATTGAAATTGGGTGTGATGTTTCATTATCCGTTTGTGTGCCGGTAATCGATCAACGCAGTTGTTTTTTCGTGACTAGAAGTCGAGAATGGTAATTATACACCCACAATTAATTAATCGTAGAATTATAAAATTGTGATTATAAAATATTATTAAATAATAAATAAATTTATACAAAAACTCGTAAATAAAAAATTTAATAATATTATAACATATTATTACTATAAATTTATTATAACATATTATTACTATAAATTTATAATATTACCTCACCTAATATTTTATTTATACTATTTTCATAATGAGAATGTTGAAATAGTCTTTTTTAAGTTGGCAATAATATATTTAAAATATAATATAAAAATTTAAATTTATAATTATGATATAATATTAAATAAGTAAATATATATAATATAATAAAAATTAATTATATATTAATAAATTAAAATTATAAATTTATAATATTAATTACATTGTATTATAATTACTGCATCATTTTCGCTTTTTAAGTAGAACAAAGTGAGTGTCCGCACGGGTACGAATTTGTGGGCTACGTATAATGAGAGCACGATGACAGGGTGGATAAGTATCGAGGATTATTGAATGTAGACTGCTAGCCAGCTGCCACCGAGGCCGCCAGCTGAGATCAGTCAACCCACACATTGTTAATTACTTAAGAAAAATAATTGATTTTCAATTGTCAATGATTTAAATAATTTAATAATTATTTTTATTATTAAAAGTAAAATAAAATAAGAAATGAAAAATTATTACCTCTTATTATGCAATCAAGATAAAAAAAAATTAAAAAGACCTTTCTTTTAATGATGGATTATTTTTGTTTTATTAAGATCTGTAATGTTATATGTATAATTATTTATTTAATAATACATAAAAATCATATAGAATAATTATTTAAAAATAATTTATTGTTAGACATAATTTAACTTTGTAACATTAAAAATGTCATTCAATCAATTGCCTAGTCATTTACATTTTAAGACTAATAATTCTTATGGCTAAATTTTGAAACAGAATTTTAAGATAAAATTACTTCAATTATTAATCACGTGGGTTTATATAGTGCTTACACCATTATCAATAACTATTATAAATTCATTTTAAATTTTAGTCATAAAAATTTGTCTAAATATCATTATTCATATTTTTAATGTCAAAATATTTAAATTTTTACTTTGAGAAATTAAATGTAAACTAACCTTGATTTTTTAATTAAAAATAAAAAATAAAAAATAAAATGAAAATGGAGGAGACTATAGAAAGAATAGTGTATGTACACTGCGAACCCATGTTAAGTGCCCATAGACCATAGGTCCATGGCACTTCCCTCTTACTTTCTTTTCTAGTACTCCCTCTGTTAAACTTTAATTGATGTTTTAAGAGGAAGCACAAGGATTAAGAAAATAATAAATTCTTCTTGATTTGAGGGATAATAAATTGTAAAGCACTATTTTATCCTTCAACTTGGAATTCGTCTGATCAAGGATGGAGGATCCTTTCCCTGGGGCTAGAAGGCTATGGCCTCCTAAGATTTTATTTTTTTAATTAATTAATATATAATGATATATTTTCTTTTTAGTAATTTTGAAATTTATTTTATTGTAAAAAGATAATTATTGTTTTCTTTGTAATATTAAAAGAGAGAGGAACAATCAAAACGCTTAATAATAATTATATAATGAATTTGATAAAGTTAAATTTTATATTATATTTTACACATTTAATAATTATAATTAAATATTTTACTATTTTTAATACCAATACGTCTTAATTTTTCCTTTTATCATATTAGAAGTTGTTTGTACTTAAATTGTAATTTAATATTTGGTGACAACATAATTAAGAAAGTTTGAATTATTTTAGGTAAGGAGATAATGAGTTATAAAAGGGTATAATATTTTTTTTTATTATGCATATTAGGTGTTTGATTGATTACCTTAATGGGACACCTTCTTTACTTCACTTTGTTTTTGTTTTGTGTATTATGTTTTGAGTTTGGGAAATAATACATAGCCATTATAAAGTTATACACTCTGTTACATATTGACGATTTTTGTTACTTGTGTTGTTAAAATTGACAGTTTTTGTTATTTATGTCATTAAAACTAACAGTTTATATTACACATTGACAGTTTCCGTTAATATGTAATGAAATGTATAACTTTGTAATGTATATGTATCATTATTCTTTAAATTTTTTTGGTAGGGATATTTAATTAACTTGATCTCTTTAATTGTTGGTTTATTTATATATAGTTAATTTGAGCTTTAAAAAACTCATCGTATTTATTATTTTTAAGTATTTAATCACATATAAAAAATAAACTTATGGAGAACTAAATTTAAGGGATAAAAATAAGATTAAAGAGAAAAATATTTGTCCATCTTGAAATTGAAAAAATAATTAATTTGGAATAAATTTTTAGTATTATTTTTAGGGTTTTTCTAACCTATATCCTTAGATCACAAGTTAAAAGTTTAATTATTACATTATTTTTATATTAATTAGTATTAAAAAATACAAAATTAAAGTTATTATTAATTTCATCATTAGTGTCATAAAATCATTCTAATTAGACAAAAACTTAAATAAAAATAAACTTTTATTTTTTCAATATTAATTAATAGGTTAAAACTCCATTTGGTCTCTCTACTTTAACAAAAAAATCTATTTTTAATCCATTTACTTAAGAAAACCCATTTTTAGTCTCTTAAATTTATTATCTAACCCTTTTTTTTTATTTTTTTTTTTATCTTTTTACACATATGACATGTTAGATGATGAAAATTTTAAAAAAAATAAACTAAAAGGGATTTTAAAAAAACCTACGGTTAATACTTCTACTTAAAATTAAAAAAAAAATCCCTTTTTAGTCATTTTATTTTAAAATTTTTGTTATCTAACATACTATGTATATAAAAGATAACAAAGTGATTAAAAAAAAGTCAAATAATAAAATTTATAGATTAAGAAGTAACTTTCTTAAATAGCAGGATTAAAAAATTTTGTTAAAGTAAAAGAGTTAGAATGTGAGTTTAACTCTCTTTTTTTTAATGGAAAATTTGCATATTTTTTATTCATAATAAAATAAAGAACAGGGATATTACAATGAATTTAGCCAGGTGAACAATTCCTGTTACATAGTGTGCTAGAAACTCCGGTAATTCCCCTACCTAGAACATGTCATCCTCAGCTTTGGAGCGCCCTTCTTGCAAGCTTATGTGCTATTGACTTACCACTAGGGCGACCATGCCGCATCTGGCCAATCATAAAGGAGGCCAGTAGGTGCTTACAATCCAGAAGAATATTGCCAAAACTAGCTAGAATTCAAGGATTGAGTGCTACGGTTAATTGTCGTGATTATGCTTGCACAGTCTACTTCAACGACGGTCCTGTCAAACATAAGGTCCTTAGCCCATTTTAAAGCTTTTTGCAGGCTACATGCTTCCCTCTCCTCAGCTGACAACAAACCTTGTTCCTTAGACACCATGGCAGCCAATACCCTGCCCGAGCTAGGAATCTCTAGCTACAGCCCCTGAATCATAAAATTAATATAAAAAAATACAATAATTATATCTGAAACTTGTACCCTATGAAAACCTTTATTTTTGTCCTATAATTTATGATATATTTGTTTGTGACAGGAAGAAATTTTAAACAGCCCCTCTATAATCTTGGTCAATCTTCGTCCCTGTCCCTACCTCAAATAACTCAATAGTCAATAGCTATGGAGTACTCATCATCATCAATGCTTCTTTCTTCGATTTGGCTCAGCCTTGCGATGCAGTAGGCAGGTTTTCATCACCGCAAGCACTTGTTCTTCCAACCAATTCCTAATTTTAAAGTTTTATCGATAAACTAAAAATTTATTTATAGCTACTACTCAGTTCATTGTAAATTGATAATAAAATTAAATGTGAAAAGTACTCAGATCTACAATCAAGCAACCAAATCATGGAACTTTGTTCAAAAATTGGGAAAAAAAAAAAAAAGTCTAACCAGTAATCATGGAAAAACTCATTTGAGTAAAATAAATACTTTTGTAGACATTGGTTGAATATGGAAAGTTTGATAGTGAAAAACTGAGGACCTTAATTGAAAACGCAACGGTGGAAAGAGGTTGAAATTGCATTGCAAAGATTTATATATATATATATATATATATAATCGCAGAGATTAATAAATTGCAGGTAGCAATTGAAAAATATATTGATGGTTCTTTGAAGTATGTTTCTCTCATAGGTTTTTTTTTTTTTTTTAAAGCAAAGAAATTATATTATGTGAGTACAAGGGGTACTCAAACCCTTAAACATAAGTGTGTAAAGCTATAGGTAGAAATGTGGACTAAATACAAAAAGGCAAAAATACTCCATAATAAGACACTTGGACTCCAGTTCCCCTTGTAGCTTCTATTTCCTATTAGTCAGACATCTCACTGGATTAGAAATCCATTCCAAGAAAAAAAAGTCTAGGTTCAACAGAGTTCTAACCCATTAAAATGAACGACTTGGTACAAGTTTAAACAGCTTGTCCTCATTAATCTTCTTGTGCTGAAAAGCAGTTTCATTTCTATTTAACCACAATGACCACACTATGGTGAACTATAACATGTTCCAACCCTTTTTTAGAGTCCTTGAACCCTTGTGCCATCTATGTTGGTTGAAAACATCAAGACAAGTATTCCCAAGTACGTAATGTAATCCCCACCAGTTGAGACATTTTGTCCATAATTTGAAAGAGATGTTGCAAGACACAAAAAGGTGATCTATATGTTCAGGGGATTGATCACCCCAAAGACACTTTATATTTTGATTTCCATCTAAAATCCCACGCATTGCGAAGTTAACCTTTGTAGGGATTCTATCTAATAGCAATTGCCATGAA